TGACCACGGAAAATAGGTTTTTTTTTTGGTTGACACCGCCTCTTGTGAACATGATGTTGCTGCAAACTTGAATTTAGACCCCAAATTATTCAACTATCCATTTCTTAATTCAGAATAAAACTCAAGAGGAAAAATGAGGCCTGGGATGGGTGGGGAACGAGGTCCCTTTGTGAAGAAAGGGCTGTCACGCTGCACAAAGTGACGGTTCCAGGAGTTTGTGGTGGAAACCAAATCCCTCAAAAATTAATATCCAACAGCTTCAAAACTCAAAGCCATGTCCGGGCTGTGGCCAAGATCCGCTGACGTTCGAGGAAAGACATTACCTTCATGACATTGAAGAGCACCTCCTGGCCCAGGCTGTCCTGTCCCTTGAAGAACTCGTGCTCTGGGTAGGTGCGGGCGATATCCCGTCGGATGAGCTTCTCACAGGGAGAGGACATCTTGAGCAGCTCCGAGTATTGGTTTTTGACAGGCATGTCGGTGGCACTGCAGAGCAGCTGCCAGACGATGGCACGGAAGTGGTGGGGGATCCCTTTGCGGATGAGCTCCTGTGGAAAAACGGGGCAAAAACCTGAGAAAATGGGTTTCAAGAAGATGGGGAAGCTCCTTGTGGGTGGGGAGACATGGTCTTGTCCCAGCACGGGGAAGGTTGGTGCAGATTTTTTGCAGGAGGGTTAAAATAGAATTAAAAATAAAGCTGCATCCTCACCTTCAGCAGCTTCTCCTTCTTCTTCCTCCACTCGTCCCACTCGTTGACGATGCGGCCCCAGAGGATCCAGGTGTCCTCCTCGAGGTGGCTGAGGTTGGAGGAGGCCGAGGAGCTGGAGACCAAGGAGGAGCCGCTGTTCCTTCGCGAGCCGTTCATAGAGCGCATCGACTTGGAGTCGGCCTCCAGTAGCCTGCGAGAGATCGAGATAGCCCCAAAACAGCCCCAAAGGAGGAGAGAGCCCTCAAAACTGCCCGAAAAGTGGAGACATTCCCCAAAACCAGCCCTCAACGAGACGAGATTCCCACAAAACCATCCCCAAAAAGGAGATATTCCTCCAAAACAGCCCCAAAGGAAGAGAGATTCCCTGAAAACTGTGCTAAAAGAGAAGAGATTCCCCCCAAACAGAAGATATTCCCCCCAAATGCCCCAGAGGAGATATTCCCCCAAAACCACTCCAAAAGAGGAGATATTCCCCCAAAACAGCCCCAAAAAAACAGTCCAAAAAAAGGAGCTATTGCCCCAAACTGCCCCAAAGGAGGAGATATTTCCCCCAAAGCCACTCCAAAAGAGGGGATATTCCCCCAAAACAGCCCTAAAGGAGGAGATATTCCCCCAAAACTGCTAAAAGAAGAGAGATTCCCTCCAAACTGTCCCAAAGAAGGAGATATTCCCCCAAAACCACTCCAAAAGAGGAGATATTCCCCCAAAACAGCCCCAAAGGAGGAGAGATTCCTCCTAAAAACATTCCAAAAAAAGGAGCTATTGCCCCAAACTGCCCCAAAGGAGGAGATGTTCCCCAAAAAAACATTCCAAAAAAAGGAGCTATTGCCCCAAACTGCCCCAAAGGAGGAGATATTTCCCCCAAAGCCACTCCAAAAGAGGGGATATTCCCCCAAAACAGCCCCAAAGGAGGAGAGATTCCTCCTAAAAACATTCCAAAAAAAGGAGCTATTGCCCCAAACTGCCCCAAAGGAGGAGATATTTCCCCCAAAGCCACTCCAAAAGAGGGGATATTCCCCCAAAACAGCCCCAAAGGAGGAGAGATTCCTCCTAAAAACATTCCAAAAAAAGGAGCTATTGCCCCAAACTGCCCCAAAGGAGGAGATATTTCCCCCAAAGCCACTCCAAAAGAGGGGATATTCCCCCAAAACAGCCCCAAAGGAGGAGAGATTCCTCCTAAAAACATTCCAAAAAAAGGAGCTATTGCCCCAAACTGCCCCAAAGGAGGAGATATTTCCCCCAAAGCCACTCCAAAAGAGGGGATATTCCCCCAAACCGCCCCAAAGCAGGAGATGTTCCCCCCAAACGGCACCTGGGTGGGCTCTTTTCCCTGGCCAGATGCCGATCGCTGCCCGGTGATGGTTCCTTTAATGAATTGGCTTAAAAAAACCCCAAATTTCCAATGTGGGTTTTTTTTTTTTTTTTTCAAGAGCAAATTTACTTAAAAATGGCTTGGCAAGGCAATTTGCATTTCAGGGCTTGGTTTTAACACTGGTTTAACACCAGGGATGGAGGTTTTTGCCTGGGATTTTGGCAAAGCGAGCTCATTTTTGGCAAAGTGGCTCATTTCCCATCGAGAATGGGTTTAAAACCCACCACCGAAACGGGGCAGATTTAACATTTATTATTTCCAAACAGCCACCTCCTTCCAGAAATCCTCTTTGTCCGCCTGAGCGAGCAAACCCTGCTGCTTTTAAAGCGAAAAAAAAAAAAAGGAAAATAACCTTGAAAATAATAAACCGGAGCGTTTTCACTCCGGCTGCCGCGACGCTGGGGGGGAAGCGGCTTGGGGTTGTCCGGTTTCTTTGATTTCAAGGGAAATGCTTGGAAAAAAAAAAAAAAAAAAGGACAATAAAGCGACCGACCGGGGCGGATATCCCCCGGCACTCACCGATTTTGCTCTTCCAGTTTCGCCAACAGCTCCAGTTCGTCGGGGCTGAGGTTTTCCGAGTCGGAGGTGGGTGAACAGGCCGGGGCTGAGTTGACGGAGGAGAGGGCTTCGTGGGAGGATGAGTCGGGGCTGACGGCCGGCGACGCCATGGCGGCGGGGGGGCCGGCAACGTGCCCAGCCCGTGGGGATTTCGGGGTCTCACCTGGAAAGCCAAGCAGCAAGCGTGAGCAGGATCTGAGCTCTCCCCTCTCCCCAGCTTTTCCTCCTCACCACATCGCTTCCAATCTCTTAAAAAAGCCCAGTTTTAGTGAATCCGATGGAAAACAGGATGCGAGCAGCGCTCAGTTTGCAGCCCACTGAGATATTCACTTAATTCCCTAAAAAAAGCCCCATTTAAGCCCAGTTCTCACGTCAAGCCGGGTCTAAGCGCATCGTTCTGTGTTTGCCTTAAATTAGTTGAATTGAATTAGCCTAAAAACCGGAATCATAGAATCCTGGAATGGTTTGGGTTGGCAAAGCCCTTTAAGCTCCCCCACCCCAACCGTTCCCCAGATCAGGTTGCTCACAGCCCCGTCCAACCTGGTCTTGAATGTTCCCAGGGATGGGTCCTCCACTACCTCGACCCCTTCCCTGGGCAGCCCCTTCCAGTGCCTGACAGCCCCAAGGGGAAGGAATTGTTCCCCATGGCCAACCTCACCCTGCCCTGGCACAACTTGAGGCCGCTGCCCCTCGTCCCAGCGCCCCTTCCCTGGGAGCAGAGCCCGACCCCCCCGGCTCCCCCCTCCTCTCAGGCACTTGGAGGCAGCCAGAAGGGCTCCCCTCAGCCCCCTCTGCTCCAGGCTGAACCCCCCCAGCTCCCCCAGCCGCTCCCCAGCAGCCTGGGGCTCCCGACCCCTCCCCAGCTCCGCTGCCCTTCTCTGGACCTGTTCCCGCAATGCAACATCATAGCGCAACCCACCACACTGGAGTAACGTAGGCTAGGATGTGAAGTTAATTTCTGTGTTTCCCCTTCCAGGGTATGGACGTCATCCGAGCGTATATCCCTGACGCTGTCTGGTACGATTATGATTCGGTAAGTATCATCATGGGGCGGGGGTTGCTAAATGTCCACGCGAGGAGGTCACAGAGCTGGAGGTGGAGTTGAGGATTTAGGAGGACAGGGCTGAAGGAAGCGCTAAGCGAAGGGCGAGTGTATCTTTAAGAAAAATATAATATCACTAATACGGAGTGAAGGGGGTTGCCATTCCCAGAATCCCAGACTGACGGGGGTTGGAAGGGACCTCCAGAGATCACCCAGCCCAACCCCCCTGCTCAAGCAGGCTCACCCAGACCAGGGGGCACAGGACAGCATCCAGGCGGGGGTTGAGTATCTCCAGAGAAGGAGACTCCACAGCCCCCCTGGGCAGCCTGGGCCAGGGCTCGGGCACCCTCACAGTCAACAAGTTCTTCCTC